ACTCAGGGCATCAAGAGTATAATCAATTCTTGGCAGTAGGTATGAGTCCTTTTTGGTTATACTATTAAGAGCTCTGAAGTCTACACAGCAACGTTGCGTCCCCTCCTTCTTCTGGACTAACACAATGAGAGCTGACCAGGGACTATCTGATTTTTCGACTATCCCTCCCTTAATTAGGCCATCCATGACCTTCTCCATATCTTGTTGCTTTGCTGGAGCTATTCTCTTCAGAGGGATTTTTATTGGACGGTGATTGCCTGTATTTATTCTGTGCTCCACAAAGTATGTGCAGCCAAGGTCATGATCTTGACCTAACAACTGAAGGGTATTTGCTGCGATATTATATGTTGTGCAAGGATGTGGACAGCAATGTCCTCCAATGGTCATTTAGATAGTATCTGCAGATTACAGCCTCACTTATACTGTAAGAAGAATGGCGAATCATGTGGATAGAACCAGTTTCAAATTTTTAAAACATTGAGGAGTTATGTTGTATGCGTTCTACCTCCTCTGAAGCTATGCCAATATGTGTTTTTAAGTGTTCTGTAGTTACATATCTTTTTCTATTGGCTCAGTAGAAAGTCGGCAGGCTTACGAAGAAAAAAATTGTGTTTAGATACCCATGATGGGCGGAGCACAGTTAGCCTATTATGTAACTTTGAGCTTAACAACACCAAACTCACACCTCTTGTCAATCTTTTTTGATTTGAAAAAAGAAAATTTATGTCTTATAAAGCTGCTCATACTATAAAGATGGACCTTTTTCAAGTATAAGTTAGTTTATATAATATACTGTTTTTGTAGGATCAATGATGGAACATCTGTATAACTCATTGTGTAATGGGCAAATCAGAGGTATTACTATAAATGCCACATGTAGCATATGTTTAATATCAAGATATTCAGTCGTGAGTACACAGATCACCAACTCAAAGAATTTGCTTAAAGAATGTATATTATTCAGGCAGAGAGACAGGTTATTACGAAACACACTTTTATTTATTGCAATACATGATTAGCAAAATAAGTTATGCTTTCAAAGTTCTTGCAAAATTCATTAAAATAACACAAAATTACAAAACTCTATAACCCAAGAACTTTCAAAAGGTGGATCTTTCTTCAAAGTGGGAAGAGTAATTCAACCACTCTAATCAGCAAATCATTTGGACTATTACCTTTAGGTTTAACAGGTATATCAATATTATATTACCAGAAACAGTGTAAGACAGCTATTTTAAATTTAGATGAAGGCTGAGTAGTAAAACCATTCCCTGCATAACACTCGCAGAATTAGATATTCTTAAAATTTTCTGGTAAATGCTAAAATTGGCTCTTCTCTCTGAGATGATGACTGACACTGCTGCTCTTTTCTTCTGTTGCTGCCAACTGTGTTTTCATCTCAGCTTTTATAGGGCTGGAAACAGGATGTTTGCACGATTCCAAAAAACAAGACTAGAACACGTAATTATTTTCTCCCTTCTCTACGTTACTTTGTGCTCAGTATGAAACAGAGTCAACAAATTCTTGGTATTCATTTTACATCACCAGGCATAGTAACAGGAATTCTTAGACTAATCTAGGCTTATTTAACCCTTGGTCTTGCACATGTTTTTATAGCAGCAATGTCAAGTCTCAAAATCTCTGGTTTCCTTTCATTCTTTTGCTTATTTATTTATTAATGGGATATTTTTAGGTTACGTGTTACAATCACTGTTACAATTCCTGACTTTTATGTCTCCTTTTTATAAACATCCTGTGAGCTTAGTTGATTTAATGACATCTTTTTTGCGGCGATAAAAAGTTGAGAAGTATATTTAAGTTTTGTATATTGATAAGTTTCTTGGATCTTATAAGTGAACAAGTGGTGTTTATGTTTCATAGCATA